CTTCACCCTAAATTTTGTTACTATTGGTATTTTCTAAAAATTTGACAAAAATCAAATTGAATTATAAAGTTTTGAGGTGTTCGGTTTGCTCTTGGCTGCAGTAGGTGAGTTAGAATTTCGGAAAATGCGTGGCAACTATGTTACCGCGTATGTGAAAGACGTTAGACGTTGTCTTGTTAGCATAGTCCAGACACTATCGTACTGTTGGGTAGCGTGTATTTGTTAATTTTGTTTTACAATACGTGTAATTGAAATTGAGAGTATACCAGGTTGTAGCAATGTATCCACTAAAAAACAAAAAAGAAATTGTTTCAGCATGAGAGAGAAAGAAATGATAAAATCTGTTTACAATGGTATTCGCAGCAGAAATGCTGAACTATCGGTGGAAGATGCGACTGAACTGTGCGGAAATTTGACAAAAGTGTCGACACGTACACTTTTTAGGATGATTAAAGCAGACCATAATATAGTGAAGTTGGAAAAGACCAGAGAACGGAAAAAAGTTGTTCTTGACGCTGTAACAAAAAATATAATCCGTAAAAAAAATTCAGTTTTTATTTCAGAAATGAAATTCCAACGTTAAAAATTTTTTGACAGACATAAATCAAGACAATGATGTACCTAACATTTCAATGCATATCTTAAAAAGAACTCTACATGAAATGAACTTCTGGTATTTGAAACGGAACTGGAAAAGCTTATTAATTGATAAAAACAAGAACGTACTTTGGAGGAGAAAATTTTTGGATCGCATACGAAAAAAACAGACTTAAAGGTAAAAACATTTATTACACCGACGAGACATGGTTAAATGAAGGACACGCAAAATCAAAAGTATGGGCAAGACTTAAATATCAAAAATTTCAGACAGGCGTTTCTGGAAGGACTCTCTACGGGGTTAAAAGCTCCGTCTGGAAAGGGACGTCGGTAGATAATAACCCACATGGGGGAGTGATTCTGGATTTTTAAAAGGTGCTTTGAATGTATTTACATCATGCAAAACCGAAGATTATCACGCATATATGAACTCCGATACCTTCGAACAATGGTTTTCTTCAGTTTTAAAGCTTGTAGAGCCTAACTCAGTGATAGTAATGGACAACGCACCATATCACAGTCGTCGAGTTGAAAAAATACCAATTTCTGCCTCTCGAAGAGGCGAAACATTCGACTGGTTGAAATCAAAGCACATTACATGTCGACTAAAAAATGTTAAAAGTGCAGTTGTGCATAAACCTACATCAAATACGTCGTCGACGAAATGGCTAGTAAATGTGGTGTAGAGGTGTTGAGGCTTCCGCCATATCACTGTGAATTGAATGCTATCGAACTGATATGGGCACAAATCAAAAATGAAGTTACTTGAAAAAATACTACTTTCAAATTGGCAGAGCTGAAGGTGTTACTTGAAAACGCTATAGCCAATGTAACACCTGCTACGTGGGCAGCATGCATCAAACATGTCATTAAGGAAGAAGATAAAATGTGGGATGTCGATTCACGGGTTAAAGTTATTGTCAAGCCTATTATTATTACACCAAATAATTATGACAGTACTAGTGATAGTGAATTATTAGGTTTTGAAACTGACTTGGATTCTTAACATTACAAGTATAAACCATTACACAGGGGTCTGTGTTGGGACCAACGTTATTTAATTTATACGTTAATGATCTTTTTTATTTAAAGTGCAATGGGAAAATTATTGGTTTTGCAGATGATACTGCCATTTTCTTTGAAGCTGACAATTGGTATAACCTGAAACAAAAGGCTGAAAAAAATTTTAGTATAATAAAAAAATGGCTTGATTTTAAATTACTGACTGTAAATAAGCTAAAAACCCACTACTTGCCCTTTAGCTGCATAACATCTGATTTACCTAATTTTAATATTAATGTGGACAGTGAGCATGAATCTTTTTTGATTGCTCCTGTAAAACAAATTAAATATTTAGGAATTATTATCGACTCTAAACTAAAGTGGAACCTACATATAGAACACATTGTAAATAAACTGCGATGTATTTTGTATAAATTTAATATATTAAAAGACATATTACCTTTTGAATACATGCGGCTGTTATATTTATCATTAATGGAAAGCCATCTTCGTTACGGTATATGTGCCTGGGGTGGCGCTTTAAAAATTCACTTAACGTCATTGGAAGTAGTTCAAAAAAGGGCTTTAAAAATAATTTACAGAAAAGAACGTATGTATAATACAGAAGCACTCTTTGAAGAAACAAAACTTTTAACTATTAGACAATTATATTTTTTAAATTGCTGTGCTTTATTTCACAATAAAACAAAATACGAGGCTATGCTTCCAATTCACTCGTACTCTACCCGCCTAAATCATTTGTATATTCCTCCAACGATGCTAAAAACATGCACGCAAAGATCATATGGATATATGTCCTTAAAATTATACAACTCCCTACATAACGAATTTAAAATAATTAATAACAAAAATTTATTTAAAAAAAACGTTAAAGAATATTTGCGTAGGAAACCGCTGAATATGGTGGATATTTTTCTTGAATTTTAATTAATAATGTCACTTCTAAAGTGAATAAAAATTTTGTTATTTTATTAAATTTATGATATGTTTTGTGATATGTTAATTTTTATATTGTATTGTATTTTCATTAAATAATTGATTTTAATTTCATAGAAACTTTTTTGCTATTGACAATGTAATGTTATTTAATTCTTTTCACTTTCTATGAAATATTGTACCTGTGTGTTAGACAATTGCTAAGAAGTTTTATTCATATTACTATTAGTTTTATTGTTATATGTTTTTAATCAGCCGAAACAAGTACTCATGTACTTATCGGCCTTATCACTTTATTCGATAAATTGTTTATATTGATGTCGATGTATTTATTATTATTATTGATGTTGATGTATTTATTATACAATTTATATATATATATATTTTTCTTATTTTATGCGAATAAAGTTATTATTATTATTATGTAGACCACTTTCAAATAATATTAAAATATTAAAAGATTCATAAGATATTTATTGTTATCAATGCGAGAGCAGACTGAAATATGAAACTGCAAAATAGGTACTGCCTGCCTAAGTAAGAAGTTTTCTCGATTTCTAATGTTATTTTTCAGGTTAAAGTCATTTTCCTTACAATAAACTTCCCATCTTATAAAATATAATTACCATTTAGTTTTCGAAACATCTAATTATATAATTTTTACGTATCAAACCTACACGCCACTGGAATGTCTTTCCCCTTTCCGTTCGAACACCGCAACGCTCCATCAACTTGGAGATGAGTCACTGTCAATAAAATCGAACATAGACTATAGGTACTTTTTAAATACTTTAAGATCGAGCAAAAAAAAACACGTTTCTAGTAGGGGAGTCCCCTTTAATTTAATTTTATTATTTGTTGTTGTAGCGGCAACTGAAATACACTAGACAGACGGACGGATAGCGAAGGCTTAGTAATAGGGTCCCGCTGGTTACCATTCAGGTACGAAACCCTAAAAATTATAAAACTCGTATATCTCATTTTTAAAACAAATATTTTGTTCTTACGTAAACGACTATCGGTCCATCTATAAGTAAATAGAGAAATTACTTTCACTATTAATTTTCGACAACCGATCGATGGTTAGGTAGATGACAAAATTATCAAAGACATGACTTGGACACGACGGAGGTTGCTGCCATCTATTGCTACTGTCCATTGTCCTCGCAAGATAATTTGCATTGGGATTGTTCTACTAGGCTATCTAAATACAAGACCGATCTTTTGTTATTTGATTAAAGACCAGTTATTAAAAAAAATAAAAGAAAATTGGGTACAATATATGGTTTACCTTTATTGCATGCGGATTTTCAACGGCATAAACATGTTCATTATGGGTATTAGTTATACCTCTTCTTATAAAACCCACTTCATCGGTAAAGAGAACCTTCTTGACAAAGTTTGGATCTCTTTCTCTTTGCATATTAACAAATCGACAATAACCCAAACGAATTTGAGGATCATGGACTAATAATTCTTGTACTGGCTTCTTATGGTATGGATATAGCAATTGTTCTATAAGCTCTTTATGAACGACATCTTTACTTACTCCTAGTTCCCTTTCAATTCGTCTGGTGCTTAATTCTGGATCTTCTTCAACACGTTCTAAAATGTCTTCTTCAACTTCAGGAATCCTTACAAAACGTTCTCTTCCATTATCAACAGTGTTGGGAGCAAAGGAACCGGTCTCCTGAAGACGTCTCTCAACTCAGCAAAAGTTGGGTGGCTAGGTACACGACGATTTGGAAACCTTTCACCCTGACACTCTCTCGAGCATTTCCTTCACAAAATCCTAATGTCAGTAACATATCGGTATATTCTGCATTGGTATATTGTACAGCCATATTAATAAACCACGCATTTGTTTTTTAATTATTGAGTCAGATAGAACACTTTCAATCGTTAACAAGAGATTAGGTGTTAAAACTTGGCAATATTTTTATTTAGATGAAACTATGGAAACCAACAATAAATGTTTTTGTATTCGTATTGCAGGCAAATAATTAATATTCCTCAAAAAATCGTACGTGGCAAGAATCGAGTATTTTTGTTAAAAGTCTCGATTAGAGGTGTTGAAGAAGATATGAAAAAAGTACATTTTTATGTTTTTCATCGTATAAAATTTTGTCCGATAATAATACATAGGCGTAGAACTAGATTTTTTAAATAATTGCACCTTTAAAAATTCTACGCCAATGGCAAAAAGGGGGTTGAGTATGAAATTTGGATTGGGTACTCATTTACTACAAAAAAGTACCCTTGATAACACTCGATTTACTCTCATGGTTTTGACAAAGTTTGTATTTTAATAATTATTGTTTATGTTCTAAAATTACTAAAATGCAAATTTCGTCAAAACCATGGGAGTAATCGAGTCTTATCAAGAGTACCTTTTTTAAAGTAAATGAGTTGCGCAATCTAAATTTTATACTCAAACTCCTTTTCTTCCATTGGCGTAGAATTTTTAAAGGTGCAATTATTTAAAAAATCAAGTTCTACGCCTATGTATTATTATCGGACAAAATTTTAATACCATTTTTTTTGCCACATAAAACTCTACCAATATACCAAATTTCAGCAAAATCACATATGCCGTTTTAAATTTATATGGGAAAAACGATTTAAAAATTGTAACTTCAAGGCCCTCTGGAGCCTAAACGAAGCAACTTTGTACTAAGGTAATTTTACTTAAATCGACTTATTTTGGTCTAAGGAATATGTGGTATGTTTTTGTAAAGACCTTTTACAGACACAAAATTATATTTTATTTATACTCGTATTTTTTCAATCACTTATGTACTACTTATGTATTTTTATTATTGAATGTATTAGCAAATTGCTAAATAACGGATTTCTAATAATTTATGGAATATGTTTCCAGTTGTTAGCTGTTTTTTAATTTATATAAACTTTTTATTTAAAAATGTTTGGGGACGAAATATAAGAGGTATATTGCACAAACAAGCGAAATTATAAATTATTTTCCCGACAAAATGAGAAATTTGAAAGGAAAACATCTCCTCCTCGATAATAGTTGACTTGTCTTGTATCACCGTCCAAAGAAAAAAATCCCAAAATAAAGATCCTATTGCCATTTACTTAAATAAATAATTAACAATGACATAATAAATTTTAATATCTTACAAATGTATCTTTTCATACTTTCTCCTCGGCATAATAAAGTCAAAAAATTATTTATTGCTAGATAATTTGTATAAATCTATCCCTGTTAATTTTTTCGCCTCCTTCGATGCCTCTTGTGACTTTTTTTCTCTTGTTCCGCTTCTTTTTCAACTTCTTCAGGGTTACTTTCTATAATATTACTACTTACATTATTATTTGGCATCTGAAAATAAAAGTATTACCAATTTTAGTCAAAATAATATATATTTATACATAGAGTTTGTATCATATGGAAAACGTTTTATTAGGTTTGTTCGGGTTCTTCAAAAATACGTTGAGAACCGTCAGAGAAATAGTTGACCAGTGGACAGTTTAAAAGTTGTATACTTTGTTATTCAATTGTTCCACTAGATCTCGGACGGTTTGCACCAAATTTTAAAGAAACCCCGACAAATCCATTAATTATTTGACAGAAAACATGAAAACAATAAAACAAAATAATAAAAAATGTATGAGGGAAGTAAAAGAATCTTAATTTGTTATTTAAAAATAACAGAAAAATGTTATTTGAAAAACAAACAAAAAATTTTCTTGGTAGCAAAGTTAAAGAACTGTTAAAATAATAGATTTAACCAAGTTTAATATGATAATTTTTTACACTGAATTTAAAAAGATACATAATTACTTAATTTATTGGTGTAAAGTTCATATTTCACTCTGTATATACGTAGATACAAATAATTATAAATACAGACAGTTCCAAAAAGCTTTAATAATTTATTTTAAACCATTAAAATAATATTACTTATTAAATATAAGACCCCAACAAATAGTTCACTTCTAACTTTGCTACAAGGAAAAAAAAAATGGAAAAATACTGTTTTTCAAATATTTTTCTATATTTTTTCAAATAAGGGTACTTCATTTTTCATTTCATACATGGTATTTTTTGCAATGTTATTAGTTAAGCATCAATTTTTATCAAGAATATTTTTTTTAAATCCATAATAAGTTTTTCATATGGTGCAAATTTTTTGGGACACATCGTATAAAAGCAAGTTAAAAACAATTACTTTAAACTTATTAGAGTAACTCAGCTTCTTGCGTGAAATATAGAGGCCGCACTACTGCCGAAGTTAGCTCTCTCTCTCTAGTGTTTAATTTTAGAATTAAATGGGGTAAACATTGCAAGTAAAATAATAAAGGATATTTTTTAAAATATTAAATATAGATACCGGCCCGTAAATAATCGTTTACATGGACAAAATGATATAAAATGTGAAAAAGTATAAACATTTTTGAGTAAAAAGATTTAAATGGCTAAGAGACAATAAACTGTAAAGTTGTACCTTACAATGTCAAAATATCGGTATTTAGTAACACTGAATTTAAAAGTATTACCACAACATTTAAAAAATGTAAATTAATAAATAAGCCTGAGAATAATAATTGTTTTTAGCTTGATGTTAGTTGAAATGCCATTCATTCACCTTAGACTTTTATGAGACACTCACTGATATACATAATTATATAGATTTCTCACCCATCTGTAAATAAAATGTGTTTAAAATAAAATTTCAACATTTGAATCTTTAGAAAAAGAAAATAAGTTAATTTTTGACTTCAAGATACGATATTATGTTAAGTATTTTGAAAGTTAAGTTTCCATGTAGTCAAATAATATTAAGAAATCTAAACAATTTTTATAACAGATGGATGTAAATAATTTCAGACCACTCTTGCTTCAGAAATAACACCATATAAAACAAATAATTGCAATATGTAATACAACTTTTGTAAGATATGTTATTGGACACTTATTTATTATTCTGAGTAATGTTTAATGGTAATGTTACTAAAATTTTACAAATAATCAGTGGATTTTTAATATTTTAAAGTTTGTTGCAATCCCTTTTAACAGTAATTGCAATACGCTAGTTAAGTGATGATGTAATTATGATTTCACTGACAATTAAAGCAACAGCAGATTTTTTGAGTGCATTTTGTTCGTTTTGTTTACCTAAATTATATCGTTTTTTCACTTTTATAAATATATTCCTAAATAATTAGATAACATGCATCAAATATATAATAGTTTAGTTACCAATAACATACCTTGAAACTATTTTTTATGTAAATAATATTTAGAAATAAACTAAAAACAGTAGAAACGTATATGTCAAATTTAATGATGTTTTTGTTAAAAGTTTGGTTAGAATTAAATGTCAGTGGAACCAAAATAACATCACACTAAACTAGCGCTTTAGTGTTAAATGAGAATTAGTTAATAAATAGTATATAGGTAGTGATAGAACGATATCACCTTTTTTGCTGATACGATATATCGGCAGATACCGATATTTACGTGCTGATGTACCGATAAATCATATCGGCAAACATAACGCCTTCTATTTATACACGACCGAAGAAAATACCGGGGAAGTCCCGTTTTATAATTTCGTTGCGAGGAAACGTTTGTGATTGGTAGTGAGAGACATTTCGGATTTCGGGGGAAGCCTCTTATATTCTGTAGTGCTTTAAAACACGGCGTTTTAAACTTGACTGTTTAGAGGAGATAGAAGTATTAGAAATTAAAAATTTAAAAAAACCGACTTCAAAAACGTGCAGATGCCATCACCACATCTTAATCAAATTTATATGGGACCACCCCTTAGGTACTCCTCACTAACAAAAAAGAATCATATAAATCGGACAAAGTGTGAAGTATTATCGCTAAACATACATAAAAAATGAAGAGTTTGAGGAATTTCTCATGGACCCAATTATTAGATTTTGACCAAATTTATATGGGACCACCCCTGAAGTACCCCCTTTCTAACAAAAAAAGAATCATCGAAATCGGTCACCGTGTTAAAGATTTATCGCTAAACATACATAAAAAAAATATTGCGACGAATTGAGAACCTCCTCCTTTTTTGAAGTCGGTTAAAAATAAATAATAAATAAAAATATTCTATTTAAATGGAGAGTTCAAATAAAATGGAAGCAGAAACCGGGGCTGGTAGAAAGAGAACGGTTAATGATTATTTTGTTTTACTTTTTTAGTAAAAATGTTAATAACAAAGTATTTCATTTATGCACTAAAAAGAGTGAAAAGCGCAAAAAAATTAATTTTTTTGCCGATACGATACCGATAATCGGCAACAACTGCCGATATACCGATATCAATATCGGTATTGTTCTATCCCTTTATAGGACCATGATATTTTTATCAAATTGGACATTCTAATTTAATAGGAACAGCCTACATTAGTTTTAATTAAATAAATAAACCATTAATTTATTTATCTGTAAAATTATATTTATAAAAATTCTAATTTCTAAACCGGTTCTGTAAATGATTTGTTTACAACTGAGTGCTTAAAATTGATTCAAAACATGTATAGATAAAAAGAAAACTTCACCCTGTGAAATATGCTTCCGATGTCTTATTTACATATGAATAAGCAATCTATGTAAATCATTGGGTGTGAGACACCAAGTGGCTCTTTGGAAATTTATAATATTTCTTTACTAACGAATCAAATCCACGTGTCCGAAGTGATGTGTTTGTATATCCACGGATGCAACAAGTTTTTTCGATAATATTACGAAAATAATTGGAATTTATATAATTAACAATTAGTAAATCTTAAATAACATATGAACCTTTCATTTTGAAAGTGGCCTTTATACTTAAAGTAATATATTCATTATCGATAATGTCTAAAGGAAGTGATGAAGGTAATTTTAATTAATTAGTATTTAACAAGTTAACCTCAGTTTTTGGACAATTGCTTTAGTTGAATAATCATTACGTTTAATTAGTATAATTAAACAAAATTTACACAAACCCCTTATTAGGCCACTTTCAAAATAAACGGCTCATTTAAAACTTTAATAAATTCCTCCATAAAGTTCACATTTTTGTCACCAGTTGGCGGGAAAGTCATGACGCACGGACCCTATACAAATTGAAATGTTTGACAAAACGTTTTATACAAAAACAATGTACTTACATCACTAACTCCATTTTCTTCAAAACCATTTTCACACCTATTCATCACTTCATCATCCGATTCTTTTATACTCTCATCACTTATCCCATTCATTTTCGTATTTTCCTGAGTTTCCATTGGTTCTCCGTGCCCATAGATCACTTTTTTCTCAGCTTTTTTCACTTTCGACGAGTTGATGAAAACGCTGTCGTTATGATGTTTTGCGGTTGATGTAGAATGGTTACTGATGAAGTCGAATTGTTCGTGCATAGTATCTGGTAGGCTTTCCTCGCTTTCAACTTTTTCGCAATATTTTATTCGTACTTCGGGAATTTCGGGGTTATCTGGCGGTCGTATTCGAAGTTCTGGACCACCTAAAACAAATAATTGAAGAAATTATCGACTAATTATTCATTCAATTTTAAACGACTATATAGTTTCCTAATGGCAAATGGCTTTCGGTCGAATCCCCTGAATTTTATACATATATGTTGCAGTTTTTGACCTCCTGATTAAAAGTGTCCATGGGGACAAAGTTTTTGAGATTCAGGGTATTGACAACAAAAGAACAGACATATCAGTTCAGTTTGATGCCTAAGAATGGGTTTTTGAATTTAATCAGTTTGGGCATATATTTTTTTCATTTTTTACATACCTCCATAAATATTGTAAAAGAACATCCACACGCTTTCAGGCACATCAGCAGCTTCTTTATGGTCTAACTGGTCGGGATTAATTTTGGTATTATCTATAGGTCCGGGAGGTTCTTGGCTTCGTTTTTGCACGAAATTGTGCCACTGGGTATACCACGATGTGGACAAATAGTGGGTGTTAGGGTAATCCTGAGATTGTGCCTCACGACTTACCTTAATAAAGTAAAAAATCGTTTGAAAGGTTTAATTAAAAATATATGAAAATCAAACCAAACTAAAGTTTATATTTAATCCAACAACTAACAACTACTAGATCAATTTCAGTTCTCACCATGGACATGGATATTTAATTTCTAGGAGGTCTAATCTGCATCTGTAATTTTGTTTTCTGAGTACAGGCCAGTGGTGAGTAAAAATGCGATGATTTAAAAATAGTAACGTACTATTTATTATAACATTAAACTGGAAACTTTGTATATATTTACAATCACATGTTTTAACTAACTCGAGATAATAATTACACTTTATTTTTAAAATTTTCGAATTAACTAATTGATGAAGAACTCATGAGAATGAAGATGCCGACTTTTGTTACCTATATGAGCTATTAAACGGTATGCAGTAAAACCAATAGTTGCTTGATGTGTTTATTAGAGAGGTGAAATAATAAATACCTACAATAAATGGCACTCTTTTAAATTTATACGCTTGCGCCAGACGCATGCTGGTATTAGAGAGTTGAAGTGATGCTATGAACGTAAACGTATACGTGAAAATTGACATCTACGCATGAGTATTTAAATATCCTTCACGTTCACGTCTACGTACATACGTAAGCTTTCGGGCTCTGGCGTATGCACGTAACGCAAATAAAATAACCTCTTTTTAATTGGGAAAGAAGAAATCCTAATAATAATTGTCATTATCTGTCATGACACACATATTTTGGACTATACCGTAAACATTAGAGAGTTTTAGCAAATGTACGTAAGATTTCCGCTAACGTTACGTTAAACTTAGATTGTGACATTTTTTATAAGTATTCAAAGATGTAGATTACAGTATATCGCTAAGGTAACGTTAACGGATGGTTAGCGGATGTTTCTTAAAACTCTCTATTATTATTGTGCGTTGACGTTCACATTTACGTTAACGTACTGGAAACACTTCAACTCTCTATTAACGTAGAATGGCTATATTTTAATGACATTGATCATGACATAACACAAGCGTTGTTATCACATAGTTACCAAATGATTACACAAGTCTTTGTATTTTTTTCTTTTTTATAGCGTCTACTCATGTAAATTTAATTCTGTATATATCAGGTTAATCCTACTTTAAATAAAGAATACTATGTGATTATAATTCTGAAATGTTTTACTAAAATACTCTAAAACGCATAAAAGGCTCCCAAAAATGACATTAGGAAAGTAATTTTCATTCTTAATGCCAGTTATTATCAGTTAATAGCTATTTATGAAACCAGTTACGAAATGTCTTATTTTATGTAACGAGTGAATATTTGCCAGACGTGCAGAGCGAGGTCCCCCAATATTACTTTATTGTATTGTTAGTTGCATATACATAATTTTATTGACAAATAGAACATAATATTAATTACCCTCAACAACTTGTAATGTGTTAATATGGCTTATTTAAGTTATTCAGTTTTCAAAAAAGTGGGTAATTTTGTCATTATTATTATTATTACAAACTAATTAGGGCTGAGGAATGAATCCTATTAAGCCCAAAATTACAAGTTCAATAACAAAGACAATTATTAAATAAGTAATTAGCAAATAACATAATGCAAACAAAGCACTAAAAATAAACTTTTAGTTTTCGTTAAAAAAGTCATCGAGTCGGTTTTTGAATACATTTACTGACTGTGCGCGAACAACACTCGAGGGTAAATTATTCCAAGTATAAAAAACTCTATTACAAAAAAAATTTTCTCGGGTACGTGTTTTAAAATATTCTTTGCTCAACTTGTATTCATGTCCACGGAGGCGCTCATCTGTATTCCGTGGGAGTATACTATAGAGGTTTGATGAAAAAGTACCATGAAGAATTCTGTATGTCACAATTAAATCACCCCTTAATCTTCTGTGGGCAAATGAACACAAATTCGCCATGTTAAGCCATTCTTCATACGATGGTCTGATTCTGCCGAAAGGTATTCGAGTAGCGTAGCGTTGAACATTTTCCAATCTTTTTTGATCAGAAACCAAATCAGGACACCACGCAGGTCCGACATATTCCATCAACGGTCTAACGTAAGTTGTATAAAGTTTAGAAAATGTTTGAAAGTTCACACGCGTAAAGGACTTTTTTAATAGGTAGATCATTGAGTTCGAACGTTTACATACCGCTGATATGTGTTCTGACCACGTTAATGAAGAGTTTACAATGAGTCCCAGGTCGTTATAGGAGTTCACAGTTGCTAACGCACTACCGTTTAAATAATAGTTCACGCACGGGTTATTTTTTCCTATATGCAGGACGACACATTTTTCCGCGTTTAAAGGAAGCAGCCAGGTGTCACACCAGTTTGAAATAGTTTCAAGGTCTTTTTGTAGTTGGGTAGAATCTGTCACAGGATTACAGTATAGCTTAGTGTCATCAGCGTAACACGAAATATTAGACTTTAAGTCTTTGCCTAGATCTGCAGCGTATACCAGGAATTGTTTTATTTTATTGTTTTATTTTGTACTGATTTAGAATGAAAAATAAGGACCAAAACAACATTATTACTAGGTTATAAATTAATCAAATTTTATTTTTGTAAATCAACCTGCCCTTCTTTGACATAAATATTAAATAATAATGTATATTATTTATTTTAAAACAAAAAAAAAGGTTTATTTTTATTTGTTTTCTTTTCACAACTGGTAACATAATGAATTTTTCGAAACCAGTTTCATAAGGTTCAATATTATGCAACTGGTTGAGTAAAGTAGATCATTTTGACACTTGCTGCGTTCACAAAAAATGTCACTGTATATGCCAAAATTGGAAAAATGTATTTTTATGGTTAAAACTAGTATTGCAGCTGAAACAGTAGGCCATTTATTTTGCAGTGTGGCAACACATAACTTGCGAGCAAACGCTATTTCATTTCAATTTAGTAGGGCGATTCGTTCTGTCTAATGCGGCAGCCCAGACGAGAGTTTTATTTATCTTGTTCAACGGCATCTCTTTCCATGTTCACCAACTGAATACTTATATGTAAACAAGTGCTTACTTATGAATAAAAGGATCTGTCTAGGGATCTAGTAGTTATTTGTCGTTGATTTAAATGAATGTGATTTACTTTTAATTTTCTAGCTATTCAAATTGGTTGTTTTAAATTTTGCATTTTTTTAACTAATAGAATTGAATTAATTTTAATTAAAATGCCTATTTAGCTCTACCTGCAAAAAAGTTTCCATTTCAAGTAAAAGCCTATTCTGCATTGCGGCGCAAGCTGGACAAACGGTAAGGTCCGCAAAAGGAGCACAACCTCCAAATTCACTACACAGGTACTGGTAAACGTCGTGGGGGATAACCATAGCTATTTTATTAATATCTATATCTCTGTCAGGGCTAACAGATCCATGCTGGCACAAGAAGTCGGAGTTGTCTATTGGTCCAGGTTCCGAACAGTAGTAAAACCTTAAAATAAAATTAATAAAACTATATAGAATATCGAACCAAGCCAAATGGCGTTGAAACAGAATAAGGTGAATTTGTGAGGTCATGGTTTTTATTGCCGAACAAGGTGAATGACAGTTATTATATGTGATCAAATCACACATAAATAAAAAATCAAATATAGGCATGGTTCTAAAAAAAGGTGTACCCTTTTGACCTTTAAATAGATAGACGGAGCATATCATGTTGGGTGTCAAGATCTGGCCATTAGCTTATTGGCCAAAAACATATTTTTCTTATAATACAAGGTGGGCCATTAAGTTGAGCGGATATGAAAAAATCGTGAAAAATAAACAGAAAGTAATATCATTACGAGTGTATATTTAAATTAAAATACACAGATGGGAAATTATTTTTTAAAAATAACATCATACATATATGCGCCATCTTGACATAAGCACTCTTCGAATCTGAACTTCAAATTTGAGAAAACTCGCTGACACATTGAGCGTGGAATATCAGTCATTTTCTCACGAATATTCTCCTTTAACTGATTTACTCTGCGTGGCCTATTGGTGTAAACGCAACTCTTTAAGTATCCTCAAAGAAAAAAATCACAAGGAGTAAAGTCTGGACTTCTGGGAGGCCAGAGAATATCCCCTTAGCGCGATATCAGTTTACCTTCAAACATCTCGTTTATAATAATAATAATAATACTCTCCCTAATTCACCTCCTTACGAGTGAATTTCAACCCCTGAAGTCGACTGAACGACTTGTGTAGGGGAAGGGACGGCTATTATTATTATTTGCCGTGGCGATCCGGGGCGACTTAAGGATGATGGTGCCATTTGACTTACAGGTGAGGAAAACCCGGAAAACCTCACCCACCATCATCGAGACGATAATGTATGGCGATTTTATAATCTGCATGTCATATCAACAGAAATTGAATTTCCATTAATACGGCACACATCAAATCCTAAACCGAACCATGCAATTTAATTAAAAATCCACATGGTCTGGTCTGGGATTCGAAGCCCAGCAGTCTCGGACGCATAAACTCGCCTATAAATGAATATAAGCGCGATAGACCGCTACACCATCGACCCGATATTATGGCCGTCATCAACTCACTAGACGTATGGCGTGTCGCACCAACTTGTTGAAACCATGTCCGCACATTAAATGGTTCAAATTGATGAAGATGCGGAACGAAAAAATCGCGCAACATTGTTGTGTAACGGTCAGAATTTACCGTTACAGTCTGGCCTCGCTCATCTTCAAAGAAATAGGGACCTATGATTCCTTGTGCCGAAATAGCCGCCCAAACTGTAACTTTGGGCGAATGCAGTGGCTTTTGATGTTTTGATTTGGGATTTTCTGCTGCCCAATAGCGACAGTTCTGTCTGTTGACATGCCCATTTAAGTGAAAATGAGCTTCGTCCGAAAACAGAATATTGTTCCGAGTTGGAAAGCGCTCCAACATTGTTTGAGCAAAAATACGGCGTAGGTTACGGTCATTGGGTTTCAACTCCTGCATAATTGAATTTCGTATGGATGCAGTTTTAGACCTTTTACCAAAATTCGACGTAGGGATGTTCTTGATATGGCAAGCTCTGCCGACTTCTTTCTGGTAGATAATCCGGGATCGCGTCGTAGGGAAGTCCTAACTTTGTTAACTGTTTCCTCTGTGCGTATTGACCTTGGGCGTCCTGCAGGCTTCTGATTAAGTGTGGAACCCCTAGCTTAGAACTTTCTAATCCACGACCTAATCACACTTTCACTGGGGCACTGATTTAAGTCATTTAATCCGTACTCTGCACGAAATAAACGCCGCAAAACAGTACACGAGTCGCCATTTTTATAATAATGCTTTACGCAGAACGCACGTTGCGACTGAATTTCCGAACACCGAGCTAGTCACCCCCACTACTGGCGCCTCGCTAACCAGTGCTGTTTGGATTCAGTGGCGTTCTTAAAATCGTACATCTTTCTGGCCCACCCTGTATATTAATATACATTGATATCCACAAATATAACACTAGAAACTGGGACGATATATCTTTACCTTGAAGCAACAAGGGCCAATCTCTAATTTGAGCGAGTAAGTGACGTTTAAAGTTGTGCTGTTGGTATTATTTCTACAATTAGAAGTAAAAGTATAAATATTATGTATTACTGAGAAATAGCAAATTTGTTATTGTAAAAAACGAGTTAATATATTTTAGACTTTGGATCTTGGTTGTTTTTAAACAAATACAGATTAGCAAAAATTAAAACTAAATAATATATAAAACTATTTAGAAGGGTAGTGAACAAGTATTTACTGTAATACTATTTTTATTTGGCCAAGGATTACATACTTGCTACATGCCATTGTAAATATAATTTAAGTACATTTTTGTGTATGAATAACTACTTTTTGTAAATGTATATAAACTTTTTCTGTTACAACTATTATAGACATGTCTAGTATTTACAATAATAAATCTACGATAATATTGCTAAATTAAAATAATAAAAACACAAATATGTTTGTAATTTACGTAAATAATTTGGAACATAAAAAAGTAATAAAATTGAAAAAAAATGTACTCTTTAAAAATAATTAAAAAATCACTACTTTAATAAATATTTTATTATTTTTAGATCTGCCAAGCAAGTATATGGAGATAATACGAGTTTCCTTGAATAATTTGAGAGGAGATATTTGCACAGTAAACGTAATATTTACATCGGAACATAAAGTATTTTGGATTGCTTCTCCCTCATTTGAAGTAAATGATGAGGTAGAAATGACAAAAGTTGTATTTGAAAATGAATCTACAGAGGACATTTAAATTTGCGCAACTGCATTCTAAAAAGTGGCAATTTTTAAATATTTAATTGCAATTTATTGTTATGGTTTGTATATATATTTTTTTATTATTTGTAAATAAAGTGCCTTTTACTTCTTTTATCTTATTCAGGTAGTTTTATTTTTTAATAATAGGTAATTAAATAAAATTTTCACAGATTTTACATTTTTGTTTGTATACAATTATTATATCTGAAATGTGATAAATTAATAAAAAAAAACAGAAACACAAACAGTTTATTAAATTATTATTTAAGCTGGATTTATAAACTTCATTCAGTTGGTGTTCAGTTCGAGTTGGTGAGTTCGCGCTGGATTCAATTTATAAAGTCGTTGGCCGTTCGTTCGTCGCTGCGAATGTTGACATTTGATTTGACAAGACATAACCACAAATTCCACAAAATAAATTATATTTCGTTATTTTGCTTTAATTATATTTGTAGATGGTGTTGGTTATAAAATAATTATAAATCCAATATAATTTCGAATCCAAAACAAATCACTTAGGATCGCTTTGACGCATGCGTGGACAAATAATCAGTGTTTTTCATTGGCCCGACGTTCGCGTCGAACGTTGGCGAACATAAAAGTTGGTCATCTCTCAGCATCAACTTAACTCGAACTGGGCGCGAACATCAACGAACGAATTGCATAAATGACAGTGCCCGTTCTGCTTTGTTTATATTGAACTCTAACTAAACGCGAACCAAACGAAGTTTATAAATCCAGCTTTAGTCTTACAAAATGAGTTCTTGTAAGTTAACAATATGAAAAGCAATTATTATGCAGTTATTACTGAGTAAATTTACTTGCTTAAAATTCACACAGAAAGGTTAAAGGTTTACGTAAGCTACCCTTCCCTTCTCATAAATATCACTGTGGATTTTAAAAACAATGTTTGGCAATCCTAAATATACCTTCGGTTTATTTTCAACTATTTTCATTGTTTTTGAAGATCGTGCTCATTATTATTAAGTCCCTCTGAATCATATATTAAATATGTTTCTTCTGATTCAGGCAAAACTTCACTATCTTCAAAACTTTTAGGAGGTTCTGGATATTATTGCAGAAGGGTTTTTAGGTTGTACACCTTCGAACTTATAGTAGGCTCATTTTTAATTTTCCTTCGAAGGGGACAATGTCAGAAATTAAATATAGACGAAAAACACCTCTAGTAGAAGGTTATTTTCTTTGCCAGTCACCTTTTTAGAAGAAATTTTTTCTATTTTTCTTTTCTTTTGCAGAATCAGTGAGCTGGCTCTTGTGTGAAGAATAACAAGAACTTTGGAGACATATGCGTGGTACTACCCAAAGGTTTATCCATCAATTAAAAAATTAACAGTTTTCAAAATCATCTGGTATCTAAAAAAATCATTGTTGCTTGTTGCTACAATCGTAGATAATTGAAGGGTGACTGTTAACAATACGGACACAATAATTTTCACTATTTTCGCTATATTCCTAATGAAAATGATACTAGTTACTATTTTTGATCAATTTAACTACGGCAAAACCAAAATAACCAAAGTTAATACAAAAATATTGTGTATTAATCAGAAAATATATCATTTTTTTTATACAACATTAATTTTCTTAAAAAACCTCTATTATTATCTATAGCCACGTTGCCAATTTTTTAAGTGCCTGTATTTGATAAAATATCGGGACAATCGATAACACTATTGATGGTAACGTATGGCAATCGAGTGTCAATTCCATAAATATTATTAATTTATTTGGTTTCGTTTCCTAAACAACTCTTTTACTTTTAATTTCCAGCCATATCCGGCGATTTATACATTCATTTTGATTGAATTGTAGAACATATTGACTAAATATTAATATTACATCATCTCTAAAATACTTTTCGAAAACTTTTAAATTTAATTACTTTGTGTAATCCAAACGTTTTTAAACTTTTTTTTTAGCATGTGAACCAACGCCTTTAACAATTAAAGAGGATAGCTGAATTCGTTGAATTTCTGTTGAGTCAGCCGTGACGTCACCCCTGAATGCTTTCAACGGTTCAGCCGGAACTCATTTAAAATATACATCGATACAATACACCTGTTTTTAATCTATTTATTTTTAAACTAAAAGGTATTTCAAATATTCAAAACATCATTTTAACCAAAGAAAAAATTACAAACCTCCCAAAATTACAGGAGTAAGTAAAATAGGTAATAAATTTGAATATTGCCGCCATGTTATTAAAAAATATTTCTCAAATAACACATATTTGAGAAATTTGACATACTAATTTCTGATAGGTTCACAAAAAAGTTTTATGAAATTATTTAAGTTATCAGTATAAGTTAATAGGAGATATACTGGGTTGGCCTTTTTTCCAAAATTAAGCAAGAATATATTTTTCCGTACTGTATTAAATTTAAAATAAAACCATTAAAACTGCATTGTGCTAGCTGTATTATCTTGAATACAGGGTGTACTATTAAAAAATATCCTTGCGTTATAGCACAAGTAGAAGTTGGAAAGGCTTTTGGTACGTAGAGAGGGGATAAACGTTAAATCACGTCGGACGGCTTCGAGAATTTCGCAATAATGTTTACCTGCCAGTGTCGTTTCATAGAATAAGTAATTTTAAATTGTTACCGGCGGAAACGGACAATCGCATGTATTTATGGACTATAAATAATTATTAAACATGTATTATAATATTCAAATCATAATTTTACAAAATTTTAACAGCTATTCACAATTTATTAAATTATTTACTCGAAATTGTTATTAACATCTATAAAATAATTTTGTACGCCAATGTATCGCGTCCACTTCGGTTAGATCCGCCGCAAACCTGTCAATTTATGTGTATAAAGTGGGAGAACTGACAAAAGTCTTTCCAACTTCTACCTCTGCTATATTTTGGAGTAATAGTACGCCTAGTATATTTATAACTGTCTTATACCGATATGACTTGATTTATTTCATAAAAATTTTATACAAAAAGCTTTCTTTAAATAAATTAGAATTCAAAAAATAAAAAAGTTATCTAACACAAAAAACGCGCTCGTCTTTCTACATCTCAACTACCTTGACAAGAGTAGCTGACTCTTATGGTGTAAAAAGGGCGCGCACGACCGACGTTTCAAAATTCGCGCGCGCGCTCGCTTCTTCCTCTAGTGATAAGATCGTTGGTGGTACGAACGTAGTTGACTCTTACGCGGAATACACAGAATGATGTCTGTCGCTGACTACACTTTTCTTTAACCAATCATCAACCGGTATTTTTGACAGGATAGGAGAATACACGTTGATGATTGGTTAAAAGGAATGTGTCAGAAAGTGTAGTCGGCGACATACATAGTTCTGTGTATGCCGCGTTATGGTGTAGGTGTAAAAAGGGCGCGCACGGCTGACGTTTCAAAAAGGATGCGCACAAATTTCAAAACATCGGCAAAGCGTGTTCGCTTCTAAGGTAGTTGGGACGTGGTACGGCGAACGTGCTTTCATGGTGTAGGTATGTCAAGAAAAGTTTTTATTTTGTTTATGAAATAAATCAAGTGATCAATGTAAGTCAGTCAGAAATATATCGGGTGCACCATTACTTCAAAATAACGAATGGATGGCTAACGGCTAATAAAGTTAGAACAATGTTGTTTTAAGGGTTTTATTTTAAATTTAATTTAGTACGAAAAACTATTTAAAAAATTTTTCTTTTGTAATTTATGAATATTGGTCAACCAAGTATATTTCTTATTAAGCACGAAGGCGTATTTCTTATTAACTTATACTGATAACTTGATTTATTTCATGAATGTTTCTTCAAACCTTTTCTTGTAAACTTATCAGGAATGTACATATTAAGCTTTTTGTTCACTCTGTGTATAACTTTCGAAATATTTATAAAAACGTACAAAATTAAACAGAAACATTTTCAAATTCCAAATACATATTTTTGAATGACAGTATTGACAGATGACACATACAGTGCTGTCGCATTGCCATTTTCTTGTTTATTAGGTAACGTTTTTAAAACAATGAAACTATAAATATGGTGAAAATTTGAACATAAACAATACTTCTAAAATGTTATTCTCGAATTTTAAGCCAAAAATTAGTAAAATAAATCAACCAAATGTTGTTTACAATATTGACTGCAAATACTGTAATTCCACTTACATTGGACAAACAAAACAATATTTACATAAAATAAAAAACCATAAAATATCGTAACTAATAATGAAAATTCCACTGCCTTAACTAAACATGCCTTAGAAAATTTGCACTATTTCGATTTTGAAAATGTAAGAATTCTCAAAAGGAACCAAATTTCAACAAAAGAACAATAACAAAAAAAAAATAATAACTCTGTGTATAATAAAACAGACAAAATATTTATCATACGTTCATTTTAATCTTATTAACTAATTGTAAGCTTTTTAATCTTTAATTGTAAAGCCACTGATAATTTTAAATTTGTCAAAACTGATCTACTACTTTATCGTGTTAAACTAAATTACTGAGGCCCTTCCTATGGGGCCTCAGTATTGCATTCGTGCAGACGAAAAAATTTCTCTCGGAGATATATTTTTGAGTGTTTACACTGGACTAAACAACTGTCAGACATAAATCTCATGCAATAAATGTCAGATGTAAACGTACCTTAAGGAATCCGGTCTCTATTAATTACTATAAACATTCAAATTAAATCACGATACCTACAGTTTATTTGTATAGAACATACCAAAATTTTAAATTTTTTACCTGTTGATCCACTGCCTCGAAATATACGTCCTCTTAAGAGGTTCTTCTAAGCCTTTAGCTTTCGTCGTACAATTCTCTAATATATCTTCAGCGTTCACCCTAATTTTTTCTGCAATAGTATTTACTTTTTGGTAAAACAAAACATACGCCTCACAACTCTGAACTTTGTCCGAAGAGACTTTGGTCACGTACTGGTCATCAAATTCGTACCATTGCCCCGAATTTAGAGCAAAACACGTATAATGGCCGCCTCCAGCTGTACCATGATGGCATATCACCGAGAATAGTTCATACGAGGATATCTTAAATAAAAAAACTGAAATAATTCTCTATTGCATTTTTGAAATTAAAACATCCTATATTTCATTTAAGTGTTTTACATTAAATTTTCATATTTTAGGACAAAGTGATTCTATGACATATTGGGACTTGGATGCCTAGGGCAAATGGATTTTCCAATGCCAACCCTCCTTTCCACAATTAAAAATGCAGTTTTGAAACACCTTATACAATGTATATCAAATATAAACACTTACCTAGAAGGAACAAATACCAGGCCAAAAGTTCTCAAAATTGCACTAAGTCAACAATCAAAGAGTATAAACCACATAATGATTTACAGGATTTATCAAAAACCAATAGCCATGTAAGCTCAGTTCTCTGGTGGGATAAGAGACTTCAGTAGATGGCTACAGACAAGCTGTCTTTGACGTTGGTGATAGTTTCAGCTTCAGCAAAGTTTGAACATCAGTGACAGCATGTTTGGTAATATCCACAGCTAAGAGCATGATGGAAACTATTTTGAACACATCTCCTCATAATTTGAGAGAGAGGCTAGGATGGATTTCATTGACTCCTGTAGATTAATAACCTCTCGAATTATCGACTACTTCCTCAGTCACATAGTACTAGCTACAAGTATGTTCTACATACTGATGCTCCAAATCTGTGACAGGAGGTAGGACTTCTATTCAGTAAAAGGATTATCACTGAACCTTAAACTCTTGCAATTATCTTTGTGTTTCAAGAAGAGAGGTTCTCCAAATAAGTTGAATTGAAGCTGCTTGATACTAAACAAAAGGAACCAACCTTCAGAAAATTAATCACTCATACCAGTAATACATGAAGGGCTGCTGAAAACCATTATTGAATGAAGAATATAAGGATTTTGGTAATCTAATGGTACAACAGTGTTGTCTTATGTTGGACAGGGATACCGGATAAATTAGATTGAAATATATTTCTCCAATCATGAAATTATAAATTATTGTACAATAATTTATAAAGTCAAGAAGAGAAAGATGATAGAATAAACTGGAATATATTGTGCAAGACTCTGAAAAGTAGGGGGTAAATAAGTTGTACTTATACTTATTTTTTTTAATGAAATTCGGGATATAGCTGAACCTAAGAAGATATCGGCGCCATTTTTTTGTAAGTTAAAGAGTCGATATGCAAAAAAAAAGGATTTTGTTACCTGAAGAAAAGTGACCTGTTTTTTAAAAAGGTTTAAAATCGGAACTAAATACTAAAAATAGGGTTACTGTTTATATTTTAATGCTATCGACATCTGGAAGAATATATTTCATTGGGGACAAAAACCAAAAATCCATGGATGCGAAAACTTTACTTTGAATTTCACAGGTCACAAAGTACAACTTGTTCACTGTCCCTTCTCTGCACCCACCTACAAAAAGCGGGCAAAAAGTGACTTGTCAGATTTGGCATTCTAAGGAGGGAGACTATAAGGCAATTGGATTCATCCATTTACAAAATTTAATAAAGTACATGTGTTTTAATTATAAATATTTATGCTGTCTTACCTTTGACACACATTCAGTATGAAGATAAGGTCGCATCTCCAATCCTTTTAGAGGAAAACTAACTATAGATGAAATTTTACTACTGAACATTAGTTCATGTCTAAAACGTTTTAGATGAATACATAACACTTCAGGTAGCTGCAAAACCTAGAGAAGAAATACAAATTAACAAATATACAAAACAATTACGAGTGAAATTATTTGGATAGTTAAATATAAATAAAACGGAATAGTAAGATGAAACTATTTACCTTACTGAATTTGATACCATTCCTAAGTTTGTTACATTTTTCACAACTGTACATGTTGTCCCCTTTAAGTTCGTCTGTACTAAAAAATGCTGCTAAACAGTCATGAAGAGTGACTGTGGGCCCATAGAACCAACTTTTCAGCCAAGATAGTATCCAGGATACCCAACCATCCTGTACTGGCATCAAAGCTTCTGAACATGTGGCACCTAGTAAATATACAATAAATTAGGACACTTTTAGCATAATTCACAAATAATCGAATTCATTGTAAAGTAGTAATTTTATGTTACAAGTCCGGGAAGTGACTTATTAAAGTACTAGTTGGATGTTATGGACGAGACAATGAAGGAGAACATTAAAACGAGTACTGTTCAAAAATGACAAGAATTTTTTATATGTCAATTACTCTTATAACCCACCTTGTATAAATAATGAAAAGAAAGGCAACATAAAAATAACATCATAGTCCATTATTTAATCCATAGTTTGCATTACCTAATTTAATAAAATAAAAATCATGTTTCAGTCACATAAAAACCAATACAATACAAAAGCTATTTTTAGAATCGACTCATCTCACCAACAAACAAAAGCAACATTCCATGGAAAAGACGCAAAAGGATTTACACAGGGTTATTTAAAAATGTTTTGTAAATATGATGTTTGTAGTCACAAAATATATATTTTGTAATAATTGAACAATTTATTAATAAAAATAATTGCAGATTGCAATTAATAATTCACATAGGTCAATATCTCTAGAGCTATGATTTTCACCAGGAAAATTGTGAGCAGGGTTCGAAAATATCATGATATTTATATAAATATCATATCACATGATATATATCTGATATATATCCGATATATATCATTTTTAAAATTTAATTATTTAATTAAAAAATAGTATTGTTTCTTGCACAAACTATATTTTAAATTTTAACACAAACATATTAACAAAAACCTATATTCTAAACAACAAAACCGTTTATTTTAACTCAAATTAAGAAGAAAAACAAAAATAATTAATGAAATAAACAGATTTTAACATTATTTTATTAACATTAATATTTTAACACAAACACATATAAATCGCTAGTTATTATACTTTTATACAGGGTCATATTGAGACGTTTTCGAATGTTCAGAATAGTGGAGAAAACATTTTTAATTTATTAAATAAAATTATCGAATATATCGGATATATATCAAGGTATAAATATCATGATATATATCGTGATATATATCATGATATATATCACTTGATATATATTCTCCGAACCCTGATTGTGAGTAGCTTGTTTTTGCAAATTTTGGCTTAAACTGGGTGAGGCTTAATAATTCTCAAAAGGAAAATAATTCCAAAACTCATAAGTGACCAAGATAATAAAGAAGGAAATCTCAAGTCACAGAAATCAGTCGAATGAAAGCGTCCCGCTGGAAAAAAACTACGCCTCTGGCTATATATTATTCTTGTTCACCCACATGTATATTATTTATTCTATGCACAGACTACAAACATACTATAAAGTCACTGTATGGATAAGAAATCCACCAACCACAGTACATATTTGCTGAAATTTTTATTCAAACAACTCTGTCAAATTAATTGTCAGTATATTTTTTAGTTATTAAAATGAAATATAATTAAAAATTAGTGATTCTTGTTAAAAATTAATATATAACTGCATTCCACAAGACATTCATCAATTTTTACAAAGAAATCGTAAATTATAATAAAACTAACTAAAACCAATTTATTTTTCAGCATTAAATATATTTTGTCTCATTAGCGCAGAGGTAGAGCAATGGGTTCTCAAACAAAAGGCCCGGGGTTCAAATCCAGGATAAAGACCAATTAAACATTTCTTTTTTAAGTTATAAATTATCAAGTTTTAGTGGTCAAAGAAAAAACATGCTATATAACTCTAGCTCAAACTACTCTAGCTTTGATTTTTTTGACTTAGGACATTATTCTTGAACCTGGTCTCTTGAACAAATTCTAGTCCATTACTTACCAACATTGGTTGACTGGACTGTAGTTCTCCCATGTAATACTACCAAGTGGTCTCTAGATGGAATTGGCAATGAAAGATCCTGGAATGTTTCGACTCTACTGGAAATTCTGTCGCATGTTAAACATTGCACGGAAGAAAGCAATTTTCCATCAAAAATATCGGATATTATTGAACGGAATTTCGGTTGTTTCTTATTTGATGGTTGCTTTGAGGTAGAATTCGATGATGTAGGCTGAGAATCTAAAAGTAAATAGAAAAAGAGTTCTCGTAAATGAATTCATTACTAAAATAACACCCTGTACATAAATAGTTTAATTTGTTCCTGGATTTGTTTTAAGTCACTATTATATGCGAGGTTAATTATATAATGTAAATTACATTACAATGTAGATAAAAATCTTTCACTGTTTTACAAAGGTATATTGTATATTATAAACACTTACAAGTTTTTACCTAAATCTGTACTATCTATATTCTCTCATTGTGAATTCCCAATATCGTGGTGACAAGTTGCCACTGGTACCCACTTTATGTAACCAACAAATTAATAAATTATAAGAGTAATTTTAAAAAACTGACTCCAAAAATGAAGAGTTTTATGATTTTCTCATAAATTACATCATCAAGTCTTGACAAAACTTGTATGGGATCGCTACTGAGGTACCCCCTTTCTAACAAAAAAGAATCCTAGAAATCAGACAATATAGTAAATAATTATGGCTGAACATACTTTAAAAAAAATCTGACGCATTAAGAACCTCCTCCTTTTTTGAAGTACGTTAAAAATGGATTACGTTCAGAACAATTTTCTTTAGTACATAGTCTTTATATTACAAACTTATTACGATTATGTAACAATGATGCAGTTTGTAAAATGAGTTCTCTAGAAACCAGAAGAAAACACAGAGATCTGATGGTACTTTTCAATATTTTTAATGGAAGATATGATTGTCTATCGAAAATGAATCTTTTTGTTTCTACTTGTAATACCAACCAATCACAAATATTTTATATTCCCTTTCATAGTCTTGATATTACATATTTTTAACAGTTATGTTCCTTGGATACTTAGATTGGCAAACAAAATAGATTTAAACTTAATCATAGGCGCCAAATAAGAAGGGGACCAGGTCCTCTCAGAAATAATCCCGGGGGCCGAGAAACGTGAAGATAAAAAAAATAAATCCATATTTTTCCCATAGTTACTTAGTGGCAAATTAGAAGAACACATCATTGGACTTAAGGGGGGCGATGACCTTTTTTTAGCCAGCAAAAAATAGAATACATAATTGGACAGAAGGATTTTTTTTTTCGTCAGCGTCATGGTACACTCCTCCCCCCCACGAGACCTGACAAATAAAAGTCGCCACCTATGAGAATAATATTCCAAACAAACTAATGTAATTTATAACAATTTATTGTAATCTAAATATTTGCCATTTATCAGATTAAAAGTAATTGAGTTCTTACCAATAACAACGCTATTTTGTACTCGCTGCCTTTGTCGCCTATTAGGACTCCCACATCTGCTTAACCTCCTTTTAGCATTACAAGGCGGCCTTTCCATATCATCACTTAAGCTAGATCTCTCACTGACTCCAGAATCACAAGTTTCATATTCCCCTTCACTCGAATCATACCCAGAAGAACTTACAAACGGAACGGCGCTGGGCTCCTTAAATTGGGCGTGGTTTGATTCCACAAAAGGTGCGTGATTTTCTACCAACAGAGCGTGACTTGGTTCCTCCATAGCAAGGCTAAAGGTGTCAGCTTCAGGTGAGGAGGCAGAGCCAGTTGAAGCGGATGATGTCTTCCACGTGGAAGAGGAGAGTATGGAAGTGCTGGGAAGTTCTGGTGGGGCGAGTTGTTTGAGCTCTTCATGAAGTTGGTCCATGAAGTTACGAAGGAATTCTTGAGTGTCGTGTTGTTGGTAACCACGGAACATTGTGTGAACGTTTCGAATGCCATATAAGATACCTATAAAAGGATAATAGGGAAATAGTGAAAATCACGAGGATAAGATTAAATAATAAAATGAGTACCAGATGGGGTGACATATCCCTGATTGACCTTCTTAATCCAAATATCTCTCATCAGCGTCTGGTAAGTCCTACTCAATCCGGGTTTCTTCCCATCACTCAGCAAATGAACAATATATGAGCATTCGAGAAAAAATTTTGTTAGTGGCTCAGTATTACTGAGAGCTTGTAGAGCTGCATTCATATAACAAGTGTTGCCTATATTTTGGAGACCAACAAGACCACATGGGCGCTCATGTGTGTAATCGGGGTAGGCTTCCTCATTTTCTCCATCACTAGAGTCTGAGGCATCACCACTCATACCTACAGTTAAACCTACTAAAGCCCTATCTATGGGACCTAAAACAGATCAAAGTTATTATTTTAAACTTTGGGTTTATAAACGAGTTTTTTTATTTTTGTAAAATGGTATGTACATAGGTTTGTTAAGTGATCCCCCCATAAAGTCCGTTATTTAAAAACAGAGGTGATAAACACTCAGAATTGACGAATTTAAAAAAAAATCTGCCTTCCCTTTCATCCCCTCAACATGACAGCCAACTCCTCAATTTTTTTAAATAGCAAAAGGAGTGTTATGCAACACTTTATTGGAAAGGTCTTGAAAAGCAGAATTCAAATAGGAATTACGCTTAATCTAATAGACCGTTAGAGAGTGACAGGTTTATGTCCCCCATTTTCGCCCTCGAATAGGGTTGAAAAGTACGATTTTAAGTAGAATGAAAGTAAATTTACGAGTGGCTTCTGGAGATAACACATGGAAAATTCGATTTTCTCCAACAAAAATAAAAGGTTATTTATTGCTCATATTTCTACGCAAGCTATTTTCACTATATGAATAATTAATAGCACTAGGCTTCGGAAAACCTAAGGCTTTAATGTTGCAAGTGGCTAAAGTGTTGAAATAAGGGCGTAATCTTCTAAGGAAAAATCGTCTGAAAAATATATTTTCTTGAATGATCTGAATGTATAAGTGCATTTTGGGGTCGGAAAATTTTTCTGATAAGGAAAATCGAATTTTCCATGTGTTATCCCCAAGAGCAATTCGTAAATTTTCTTTTATTCTACTTAACATCGATGTACTTTTCAACCCTCTTCGAGGCTTTTATGCAAAAATGGGGCACCTAAATCGGTCACTATCTGATGGTCTACAGACCTATATATAAATATATAATTTTTGCATATATTATTTGGGTTTGAAGATTTAGTGATTTTACACATACGAGATGTTTCTAAACCATCATATGCTGATGTCAATATTTTAAGAGCTGCTACAATAAGGAATCAATATAGAAAAGACCTCATAAAGCTGTTGATTTATACAAAAAAATAGTTTATACTGGAAAAAGATATCTACCTCTTTCAGGGGTATTAGTTCTCAATGTGCTGTAACTTCCATGTCCTGAATCCCTAGACATTGCTGTGCAAGTTTCTGTTTCTTGATCACTATCATTGTAACTCTGGGGTTCCACAAAAACTTCCTTCTTGCATTCATAACACCAAATTCTTTTCGTTGACAGATTCATGTGAACACAATGTGTAGGGTGGTTCTAAAATGATAAAAAGTACAGGGTACAATTATTAATATATTATTATGATTCTAGAGCGATGCCTATTTAAATAAAAGTGTCCAAAAACTAAAACACTAAAAATATAATTCTTGAAAAATATACATTTTTCCCCTCCAAAAAAGCACAATATCAAACTATCTAAACATATTATCTGTTAGGAGTAGTTTCCAATGTCAAAAACAGATTCCAATATGAGATATGTTATCTTAGGAGATTATTTGTATAATTTTTATTATTAATTATCAACTTTTACCATTTGTATCTACAATTTTGTAGCGAGATTTTTTTATGGATAAACATGTAATTTATTGATATACCTTTTTACAATACAGTCAATTATATATTTTTTTAATTACTCACTGCATTGTGAAGTGTGCTATGATCATTTGATTTTTCAGCACATCCTATTCTCAGGCAGTTTTTATATAGGCAAATCCACAGGTTTGGTCCATGACAGTCACAGTCAGCACAAACAAGCTGTAATAAAGGAAATGTGTTTAGATTGTTCTTACAAATTCATCACAATTTGAAGAATTTGTTTTTAAATGGTACTTAACTTAATTACTTTTTCCAGTAATAGTTTACAAGTGAATACAGACGTTGAACAAATATAATTAGGAACAATGTTTTGTTCTTGTATTTGAAAAAGTTGTGCTTATTTAAACTTTAATGTTCAATTTACCTAAGGATCATTTTTCTATTTAAAACTGTAGGACATCAAAAAGCATAAAAAAATGTGAATAGGTAAAATTGATAAAAATTTTTAAGCTTTGTTACTATAAATTTGCACAATAATAGAGTTACAGATATTCCAAATTACTTACCTCTGAACAGTTGAGTAAAGTATCTATATTAATACTTTCAGCAACCGCAACATGGGCACAAGTCACCATTTCACTACAAAGAAAAAAATGTGTTGTAACAATAAAAAATGATAAAGAACTTTAAACTTTGATCTATGAGATACCTATTAATATAAAATGTTCATGTCTCCCATGAAAAAAGTAAAGTCTTTCTTCTATTTTTGTCTATAATACGTATTCAGTGCTTTACAGGAAACATATAATTTCAAGTACAAAGTTTGGTTTAATTAGTTTAGTAATAGTTAAACATTTTGAATTTGTCATTAATATTGTCTTGTCAAAAACAATCAAAAGATAGGTTATAATATTTAGTTTATCATTATATTGTTAACTTAAATTGCGTAATATTTAAATAACAAATATAACACTTTACAATATTAAAAAGATTACAAAACTATGGAAAATCATAATACGGAAATACACAGGAAACAGGAACTATATAATTTGAATAAAAATATTTCTTACCTTAGATTAAACACTACATTTACTATTAATACGATTTGTTAATTAAATTACACTGCAGTTCAATGAACAAGCAGAAATTATAGATTTTTTATTGAATATTCATAATTACTAGATAACTTGACGTTTCACATTATTTCTGACATGTCATATTTGTTTTTAAAACCTCAATGTCATTTTAGGAATGTCACTAATGTCATTTGTCGAAGAGGGCTTCGAAAAAGTCGCGTTCGGATTCGATCTCATTTCGGAACTCGGTCTAATAAGGGCCCTATTCAGTAATTTTTCGTTTATGGACGACATCGTTAAGCTAACGACAGTTCAACCAACGACTTTTATAACGATAATTTTTGAAACTCTATTCAATAATAAAGTCGTTACGTTGTTTCTAGTTACCAATCTGAACGATGATTTCTAGCAAGTTGGTATTATAATTTAGTGTTTTGTGATAAAAGAACGTATGTTGATGATTATATCGGGTGTTTAAATTGAAGTGTAAAGCCTTGGTTTCTTTGAACACTTCGTCGCGGTGAGCGGACAGTCCGTCAACCGTCGCGTTTTGACGATTTTATCCAACCAGAGTATTTAAATGGGAATGGTTTTCTTGAATCCGCTTAGCTGAACAGGACGGCGTCATGCCGCTGATTTGTCGCGAAGAGTCGGTTGATATCTGTTGAGTTTGATATCAGCGGAATCGTCGGCGTGTGCGGAGACTATATTGTTATTAATTTTAAAACAATGAGTGACAAATTCACACATACAGATGACATCATGACTTTATTTTTAGGTTTCTTGGAAATTATGTCCTTTATAAAACTCAACACGAATTCAAAAAGATCTGTAGAAAGTCTAAAATACTCCCTAAATTTGGTTTCATTTCCAAAAAGCCTCCGCTGCACAGTGATATTAAAGGCAACTTCTGTATCGCGACAGAAAAACAACTCATTCACTGGCTTATTGGAAACTTTGACGGTTGCAATTGCCAGTTCCTCTTGTTCTTCCTCTTCCAACAATAATAACAACGCAAACAATTTATTTGCAACCATTTTAGTACCTTTCGTTTACATTCATAATACATAAACAGCACGTACAGACATAGAGAAAGTATCATTTTCTATATTTTTTAACAAACCACCTCGGGCGAAAATTGCTGTCCTCAGCGGTCGACGGACTGTCCGCTCACCGCGACGGAGTGTTCAAAGAAACCAAGGCTTTACAGTTAAATATCGCCGAAAATATGCATTTTATACAAAAAAGTAACAGACAAAAGTTTTATAGTTTTTTAGGGGAAACATTTTGGCTAAATTAATTTTTTTATAGCTTATCATAATATGGCCATATCGAGGTGGATTTTTTTTTCAAATTGGATCCCTATTTTTTACATAGGTATTCTTAAAGTTCATAAAAAAATAAGAAACTTCTAAACGAAACATTTTTTTATTAGACTTCTACTTATTGAGTAACACATACTGCTGCGTGAAAAAAAAGCTGGCCATATTATGGTTAGCTATAAAAAATGATTTTAGCCAAAATGTTTTCCCCAAAAAACTATAAAACTTTCGTTTTTATAAAAGGCGGTATTTAACTGTAACATTTTAATTTGAACACCCGGTAGTTTTGACATTTTTTTGGAACATAAAATACAAATTCTACC